CGTCCCTGTCCCCATCCCTGTCCAGGACACATCCTCCCCATCCTCATCCCCGTGCCTGTCCTGGCCCCATCCTGGACCAGTGTCTGTCCCCATCCTCATCCTGGATCCGTCTCCATCCCCATCCCTGTCCTGGTCCCAGTCACGTCCTGGTCCCCATTCCTGACCCAGTCTATTTGCCATCCCTGTCCTGGTCCCCATTCCCCCCCCAGGCTCTGTCCCGGTCCCTGTCCTGGTCCCTATCCCCATCCCTGTCCCGGTCCCTGTCCTTGTCCCTGTCCTTGTCCCTGTCCCTGTCCTGGTCCCTATCCCGGTCCCTGTCCTGGTCCCTATCCCCATCCCTGTCCCGGTCCCTGTCCTTGTCCCTGTCCTGGTCCCTGTCCTGGTCCCTAACTCCGTCCCTGTCCCGGTCCCTGTCCTGGTCCCTATCCCGGTTCCTGTCCTGGTCCCTATCCCCATCCCTGTCCCTGTCCCGGTCCCTATCCCCATCCCTGTCCCGGTCCTTGTCCCCATCCATGCCCCTGTCCCCACACATGCAGACACACAGAGCCCCAGAGGGGACATGAAGCCCTGTCACACAGAGCAGCGTCACCCCATCGGGGACAGGGGTGCTGTCACCCCATTGGGGACGGGGTGCTGTCACCCAGGGGTGCTGCGGGTGCCGCGGCGGCGCATGCAGCCCCGGCCGCCCCACCGCCAAGCTGGCCAAGCCCCCAGCGCAGGGGACAAGGACGGGGACGACCCCCCGGTGCCACCGCGAGCGGGAAGCGGCGGCACCCCCGGGACCCCCCCGGTGCCCCCCCCGGGAGGCCCCCCCCTCACCTGGTTTTCGGCGGGGAGCCGCGGCATGGAGGCGGCCCGGCCGTGCCCCTCCATGGGCAGGTAGTCGCTGTCCGAGTAGCCGTCCTTGGCCATGTCGCGCATCTCCACCGCCTGCGGGCGCCGCGGGTCAGGGGGGGCGTGGGGGGGCCTCTCCCCTCGTGGGGGGACACGGGGGCTGCCGGGGATGGGGGGGGACAGAGGCTTGGGGGCTGGTGGGGGACACGGGGGACACTCAGGGACAGACACACAGGGGAGACGGGACCCGGGGACACGGGGGACGGGACCCGGGGACACGGGGACATGGAAGCTCAGGGGACACGAGGGACGGGACCCGGGGACACGGGGACATGGAAGCTCAGGGGACACGAGGGACAGGACCCGGGGACACGGGGGCCGGTGCCGCCCTCACCTGCGAGTTGGGGCGGCTGTTGGGGACGTCCTCGGGGTGCCCCCGCTCGGGGCTCCAGGTGCCCGTTTTCTGGAACATCTCCTGGGCGCGCTGCGTGACCCACGACTGGCTCTCCTTGAGGCCACCGTCGTGTGCAGCCCTGGGGGACACGGGGGGCTCAGTGCGTCACGGCGCGCCCCAGTGCCGGGCTGGGCAGGACGGAGCCGGGGGCACTCACATCCCGCCCGGCGGCTCGGCGGAGGCCACCGTGTCCGGCCCTGGACCCCCGTCCTGCGTCGGGGATGGTGGCTCCATGCGCTGGAACATCAGCGGGGTCCGGTTCTGCGGGGACACCAGAGCGGTTGGGGACGAGAAAGGGACACGGAGAGGGACAGGAGGTGCTGGAGCTGGGATGGGGCTGCTGGAGGGACACATGGAGAT